GTGCTAACCATTCTATTGCCATTTGCAACTCTAACCATGATGGGTTTTACATCCTTCAGCTGGCATCCTAATTTGTGAGCAGTATCCTCTTGAATGAAACTTAGAGTGCTCCCAGAATCAATAAGGATGTGTAGTTTAGTGTTTCCTCCTTTCCCAAACAACCTCATAGTTGTTAGGCTCCCTTCACCTGCCAAAGCATTTAGTGTCATCTGAAATTCCTCCATGTTTTCAGTTTCAGCCCCATGTTCCTCTTCTGGCACAGATAGCTCTAAATAAGAACTTTCTTCCTCTTCTGACATGATCATGTAATTAATTCTGTTCTTGCACCTATGACCCATGACATATTTCTCATCACAGTTATAACACAAGCCCCTCTCCCTCCTAGCAGCCATCTCAGTTGCTGTCAACATTTTAGTTGGTGGTCTGTAGTTACCTCCTTGTGGACTTGCTCTGGAATTGTTGTCCACCCTTCTGTTTGGTGAAAAAATGGTAGGTGGTGGTCTGGTGGGTTGTTTTGCTTTCTTGATAATGGCCTCCATAGTGCATAGTTGCTTCCTGCCCAATTCGATGGTTTGTTGTAAAGTTGTAGGTTAAAACATATTAATGAAAGCCTGCAAATCTTCACTAAGACCACTGAGAAAACTAGCAATGAAGTATTCTTCAGAAAATTCCCCTCCATTAAACAACAACATACAAGATTTCAGTTCTTCAAATTTCTCCACATAATCAGTATAAGAACCTGTGTGTTTCAGTTTGTTAAACTCCCCAATGATTTTAGCTTCTTTAATTTCCTCAAACCTGGAAGATACAATATCCAGGAATTGTGCCCAAGAAATGTCCTCAAACTTAGAGTTGAAAGTTTGAAACCATTGAGCTGCTCTTCCTTCAAAATGCATAGAAGCTAGGGTAACTCTCTGAGCATCTGGAATATGGGGAATAATTTTGAAATACCCATTACATTTAAGTATCCAGCTCCTTGGGTTGGTCCCATCAAACCTGGGAAAATCCAGTTTAGGCATGGGATTCACAAAGGTAGGTTGCTGAGTTGAATTTTCCATCTGCCATTTAGAAGATTGGTGTTTGGAGTGTGACCCATTCTGCGATTGTTGATTATTATAAGAACCCAGGATGGATTCTTCTCTTTCAAGTGACTTCTCTTTCGCTATGTTCATCAACTGCAGTTGTATAGATGCCAAAACATTTGCCATGTTATCATATTTGCCATCTAGACTGCCCATCTTGTTCTGTAGCTCCGTGCTAAGTCCTGCCATTTTGTCCTGCAGATTAGAGCTCAAACCAGACATCTGCTCCTGTAACTTAAGCTCACTGGACTCTCGTTTCATGGCCTCCGTTTGTATAATTTGATCTAACTTTTTCTGATTTTCCTGCAGCTCCTTGAGACGCGTATTCTCAGCCATGTGGAGGATCGAAGGCTCTGCTGATACCAATTGTAATGATCTTTGATAATTGTAGTTTTCTGTATTTAATAGATAGCTTGATTTGATGTTATTCCTTTGATATAGAAAGTGAGGGGGAAGACAGTAGAAAAGAGATAGAGAT